CGCGGACTACTGCGATGGAATGTGAATACATGCGAAAACTGAGATTCTGCCGATCCTTAGCCTAGTAGAACCCATTGGTGCCAAAAAAACGTGCGGGGAAGAAGATTTCCGTAAACTCTAATCACTTGGTCTGCCGAAAGCCTATTTTGGCGCCAAAATACGCTGTGAACTTTGACCCCTTCGGCTTTGAACGGTTTAGGTTTTAGGCTGCAGTAACACCGCTATTGATTCTTGTTCTTCTCGATTGTTTGTTATTTAGCACGCACTCGATCTAACTTACTTTCAGAAAGGCAACTACTGTTATCGTTACAGGTCGGGTAAACGGTTGTGACATAGCTATCCATTTCTGTTGTCTGAAACAATTTGATGGTGCATAGTACACTACAGAATCTGAATAAGGAAGCCAAAAAGTATCGAAGGGCGTTACCACAGTGACTGGAAGCGGGCGCAAGAAAACGAATATTGGACGAAGCTCTAAGTCCCAGGAGCAGCAAGTATCGAGTTGGTACTGGAAACACTCATGCAATTCGCAGAGAAATTGGACAGGCGTAGAAACACCTCAATCAAGTTCACCAAAACAAATATCAAGAAATTTTGAAGAATATAGAGGAAACTTGGAAAAAGCTCAGGCTCTCATGGTTCGCCTTGAGGCAAAGGAAGCTGCGTTGCTTGAACTCCTCATAAGTGAGATACCTACACAAGAAACCCTCCCGTACCTTACTTCGCAAGAACAGACTTGCCAGAAAAAGCTAATACTAACAATAAAAGTCAAGATTGTTCTAATGCCGTCAAGACATGTTCAACTCAGCCAACGATAGAAGCCATCATACAAGGAACTGAATTCAATCAAAAACCTCAACGCCACACTGAAGTCAACCAAGATAATTCTTGATGTTAATGTTCGGAACAAACTTCTCGGGAATACAGAGACGCAGAATCACGGGATTCATGAAAGCAGACAAACATGCCATTAAAGAAACCAACAAGAAGATCGATTCCAAGGCCATTCTTCTAGTCGCTAATACGGGAGCGGATGCCATCAACGACGATAAGCAACGCCGAAGTTACGACTTTATGGAACAAGCTGAACCCATGGAAACCTCTGACCACGTTGCTCAACAAGAACGCGGTGCAGCGGAATTGGAGAATGGAGCATTCGAAACGAAGGTCTACATGATAGAAAGCAACATCAAAACAATCGATTCGAAGGTGTCATATGATCATGACCAGTTGACAGAAGCTGCATTGTAGTAAACGCATTTCGTAACTCCTACAACCTAAAGAACAACTTCATTTGCCCATTTTCCTTCACGGTTGTCGTTTTTGCGACAGGGTCCCTAACAACAGTGTCATTCTCAGCGAGGTATTAAGGGAGAAAAGGAGCGAGCGATAGGCAGAGGAGGTGCCTTTGCAGCGCGTGCGCACATGTGGCAGTCTTCTTTGCGGGGATGCACTTTCATTCTTTGTACTGCCTTCAAATACGCCCTTCTCATGAAGGTGGAGGAATGGAGCGACTGAACCTGCAAAGAAAATTTAATATCATGTTTTTTCAGATATTTTCATTTTCTGCTGCGCTATACCCTCTTACCTATCTGCACCACGATACCACTGCTGTTACTGACCCCCAAGAGTACGACCCCCCATGACCCAGCCCGACAGGTACGACCCCGAGCGCGCGAGCGCCGATATCACACCTGGGTAGTAATTCTCACTCTGAAGCCTGTCGTGTGTTGTTGTGTGCGCAGGCGAGGCTGTATAGAATATTGAAGGAATTGTGATGGCATTGGGAATTGTGGTTGAGTTAGCAGCGTGCCTTCACCGATTAATATGAACTCCCTACTTATGCTTGCAGCCCGTGAGATCCTCAGGAAGAAAAGCGTTAAAACACACAACAAACACAATGAAGCAGAAGAATGGGACTTAATTTTTTATTTTCGTTTCCGGAGTATTTGCAAATCAGCCCGCATTAGATGGTGGGTGAACACAAGTGGAATTGCTTAACAGCAATTTCTCCATATTTTCATTTCAATATTCCTGAACAATGCTCTCCCATGCACGAATACGACAGTGCACGAAACGACCATTGTGCCTCTAGCGATCCCCGTCCAGATTTTTGTGAGAATGCACAAATCGCTTTGTACAAGTGTCCTGAGTCAAACAGAAGATACAGGTAGTGATGAGAGCTTTCATATAAGACTTGGACGTGAAAAGCTCTATTCGCATGCATTCAAATCCTTTCAATCAATAGAGGATAAGATGACACAGTAAACGACAACGAAAGTGGCATAGCTGGCTGCTACGGCGAGCAGAGCAAATTTTTTTCTGTCGCCAAGAGTAGTCGTAGTAACTCGTCGCTGCACAAGTGCCTGAAAACACAACGCTGTGAAACTCTGCAGAAATCTTCGTATCCAAGGTATGGGCATAACGGTATTTTTTCATACAAAAAGCTATGGTAATGTTGACAAGGCATAAATATTCTTCAAGCAGCGTAACCCCTCAAATTGCAAGATTTTATGATTTTATTGCAAGATTCTCGCTGCGAAGATTTAGAAGATCTCATGTGGTTCATAAGGTTGGGCACAACAAAACAAGCCTGATTCAACATCTGCTGGTCCCCAACTGTCGTCGTGTTCTTCCAGAGTGTAAAAGTAGCAGGAAATTTTGAAGAGTTTTCGTTAATGAGAAGTTGATGGGTTTCGAATCTTGTTTAGGCACTGCCTCCAGGATATGCAATAGATTTTGCCACTCCCCACAATTAAAGGCGGAGTTTACGATGAGAAGCCAGGCCATTAGAATCAAGACAGAGGTGGTCAGTGGTGTCGAGATGAAGAAAAGCCGTGATAAGTGATGCAGAATCGGAGGAATGGGATCCCTTTCAAGCCCCTGGATCAATTGATGCACTCCATCTGGGCTGTCCTCATCAACTCTAACACTCTCTTTGCTAGGCGGCTAAAGCCTTACGGTACGGCGTCCAGCGCCGATAGTGCCGCGGAGAGGCCTTGCTGTCGATCTTCGGGGCATATTCTTCCTCCAAATTGCGTGTCGGTCCGTATTCTTAGGAGGTTCACCTGTCTCTCCACTGGGTACGTTCCCCTTTTTCAACATTCTGCCTTACTGTGGAGCCCTCCTTCAAAGAGCCAAATGTGGAAATATAAAGGAATCAACTGAAATATATAATTCCACTGAATTCCATTTCAATGATAACTCACTGATTCAGGAGGCATAGAGATGACGTGCGTTGAGGAGTCCTCAGACGGTATAAAACCGAACATTCTTTCGGCAATTTTTTGCATGAATCCCCTCACTGCAGTATACGGTTTGCCACCTGAAAAAAAGAACAGAAATTAGTGGAAGGGAAGGGACATTCTAACAATTTCGGTAGGATCGTTCTGTAACGAGTTCAAGGGCAGGTCAACTGAATGCATTTATTCTCTATGTCCCTGTGTTTTAGAAGCCACCATCTTGCTCTGTCGGCTTGTCGGTGTGTATGTAGGTTTGTATATGGATATATTTATACGCGTGTCCTATAATCATTCCAGATACAGTAGTGGCCAGAAATTTATGAACAAACGGTTTTTTCATGATTTCTCTTTTGAAAGTCACTGGAACGTCTCCAAATTTGCAACAATTATTAACTACGTGTTTTATGATCCACACAGAAAATTTCAACCTTCAGCTCAAATTTGGGTTTAGAAAATTTTAGATTTTTCGAAATTAATGAAGGCAGGTGAAAGATCACTTGATCCGTTTATTTGATTTAAATAATGTATAACCCAACAGAACAGTCAAGTAAACAGTCACTAACATTAAGCAAGTCTAGCACATTGCCCAGAACTCTCTAAAGTATTGGATACATAAACTGGATTTGAATGCGGGGTCAATTAGTGAACTCACTCTCTAGTGGGGTCTCTCTCTGTAGTCCCGTCTTTTCGTGGCTCTTTCACTGAGATACGCAATCTGTAGGTCCTCCCCTAGTGGTTCTGTAATGTTTTGGCTCAGGAGTCTGGCCTGGCTGGTCTTTTAAAAGCACCCCATGCTGTCGAAACCACTCCTGCATGTGAGAGGCCGATGCTTTGAGTCGCTGCTCTGCCGACAGGCGAAGTCAGGTCGGGCGGCAGCCAAGCCTACGGATACAAGACACCTTCCAAAACATGACAGCAAACGTCTGCCTTCATCGCTACCTCAGTCGTGTAGCGTGGTCCCACTTTTTTCCAAGGCAACCTTATCAAGCCTCCGCCAAGTTTCACAATTGGCAGCTGTTTCTTTGGATCAAAACGTTCCCTCTCGTGGTGCCGTACATTACTAGTATCCTTGCTGTCATGCATCAGTAATATGTTTTTGTCATTCCAGATGACCTTAGAAACCTGTATCAACCTTCTTTTCAGACTTAGTCAATCACATTCTACTCCCACCCACTTCACAGCGAGCGCTCTTCTTAGACTTTGAGAACTAAGGAATACTTAGTATAGACTTAGATTCTAGAAGATGTTATGTATCCGTAGACATGCTGCCACACGACCTGGCTTTGTCTGTCAGCAGAGCAGCGACTCAAAGCATCGGGCCTCTCACATGCAGGAGTGGTTTCGACAGCATGGGGTGCTTTTAAAAGACCAGCCAGGCCAGACTCTTGAGCCAAACATTACAGAACCACTAGGGGAGGACCTACAAATTCGTATGTCAATGAAAGAGCCACGAAAAGACGGGACTACAGAGAGAGACCCCACTAGAGAGTGAGTTCATTAGTTGACCCGCATTCAAATCCAGTTTATGTATCCAATACTTTAGAGAGTTCCGGGCAATGTGCTAGACTTGCTTAATGTTAGTGACTGTTTACTTGACTGTTCTGTTGGGTTATACATTATTTGAATCAAATAAACGGATCAAGTGATCTTTCACCTGCCTTCATTAATTTCGAAAAATCTAAAATTTTCTAAACCCAAATTTGAGCTGAAGGTTGAATTTTCTGTGTGGATCATAAAACACGTAGTTAATAATTGTTGCAAATTTGGAGACGTTCCAGTGACTTTCAAAAGAGAAATCATGAAAAAACCGTTTGTTCATAAATTTCTGGCCACTACTGTATATATATATTTCCATCTTGCTCTGTCGGCTTGTCGGTGTGTATGTAGGTTTGTATATGGATATATTTATACGCGTGTCCTATCACCACTGTCCCTCCTTTAACAGAGGATATGATAAGGAAGCTGGTATAATCCAACCGCTAAGAAAACTGGAGAGCTCGAAGGACTTGCGGAATAGGATGAAAGGGGGCTGGAGAAGGAAGGGGATCAAATTCCAAACTTAAGAGCCATGTCGATGTTGAGATCACTATTGTGATGTCGCTATTGTATTGTAATAACGCACACTGAGCACACTTCCAACCATTCCACATGGTGTTGCCGTCAAAAGGAGTTGAAGGGAGAGAGGAATAAGAGAGGCGACAAATTAACCTCTAACACACTAAGATCTAAATTAGGTGTTGAACTTTCATTCACATGTGCAGCGTGGCTGTCTTGCTAACTGTCTTTAATTTTAATCCATATCTCAACGCCGGTAGTACTTGTTTTGGGAGCCTGCTAGCGAAGCTGGCGCACCAAATGGATGTCCTACGGCTGCTCTCAGCTGTACTATGTACTTTGTGAATTTGCTTAACATTTTTGGTACGGAGCTTATCAATAATTTACCCGAAGACTATTATATTTATTTGCGTGAAAAAGCGGGTGTCCCGATGCCCAATCAACTAACCTTCTGAAAAACTCTCTAGAAAGAAATTTCTAGAGATGTTCTTAGAAGGTAGTTTGATCGAAATCAATATTGTAGTTTACTGGATCACACGTTTTTCTGCAAATTTTAGAGCTGTAAATAAATAGTACATTCCGTAATGAAAATTAAGGGCCCCTGCGCCCCTTCTGCTCAGAGGTATGGTCCGTAACCGAGAATATTACTGGTCTATTTTGGTTTTAAATGCCTTCGATATATTAACCTTACTGATTTTTCCACTAGAAATGTTCGTCCTCTCAATAAGCAAAGCCAGCAATTAATAAGGATCCGAGCATCGTTATGAAGGCATCAAGTAAGCAGTGTTATGACTCACTTTTCAAAACAGTCTGTCTCGGCCTACTTTGATCATCGTCCACGTCCACGAGAAGCGCATATCTGAGCCTTCTCGCGGGCAACGTCAAATCTACGACCAGCAGAAATACCGCGTGAACAAAGCAACCAGAAATCCAGAGATCCAATAGCGTAGCCGAAAGGTACGGACGCGAACTAACCAACTGAAATGTGTAGTTCGAGTAATTTACTGACCACTTGCCACTACACCACTTCCGCCCCATTTTTCAGTTATCGACCCTAAATTAAAAATGAACACAATGAGGTTCACTCAATGCTTATTTTCATTTTATTTTCATGCTTTCAGCGATCACTTCTCGTTAATGCAATTATTGTGTTTCACTGGACCGATGATCGTCTGGTGCTCAGAACTGTTCGATGACTTTGAATTGCCGAAGGAGTTCGAGCCATGGCTGC